GAGGACAGTGTTCAAAGACACACTGGGCGTGTCCAGATGAGCACAGCCGTGCAGCCTGTGGGACTCACAGTCCAGTGTTCTTCGTGCTGCAAGGACGCACTATCTGTGCATGTACTGCTCTGTCTTTTCTCTGCCCCCATGGGTCTTTTTGACACTTCAAGTGGTCCTTACACATTTCATACCTGAGCTCTACAATATTTACATTTCATGTCTGACCTCTACAACTCATCTTGTTGGAAACTTAGTGGCCACATCCAGGTAAGCACAGACATTTGGTTCCCTGGGGACAAGTGCATGTGGCGCCCCTTGTGCTGCCGTTACTTGTACCCTGGGAAGATGTGGCGCACCTTGTGCTGCCGTTACTTGTACCCTGGGAATGCCCGCTCCACGTGTGTATTGGTGCACAGCATGTTACCCCAGGGGCAGTAGGAGAGCCTGGGCTCAGCCCTGTGCTGGCCCCAGCTGCCTTACCTGGGGTCTTGGGGCAGTTTTCATCAACTTAGGACCTGCCCCACTACCTGCAAAGTCTTCACCTTTTGGCGTTACACAGTAACTTGTGCCATACCTCTGTTTTAAGTGATATTGTCTTCCACAGCTCTGCAGACATGCTACTCAAGATGTAGTTTATCCTACCATGAGCTACTCATACAGGTCAGTTCAAAACAACACAATTGCTGTGTTAGATTTCATCTCAGAGAAAGCTGTTCTTCCCTTATTCAGAAAATGCTGTGGCATTAATGATTTCAGTCCTGCACATTTCAGTGTTCTATGAAACTTTAGTATCAAATGTCAATGTTTGATTCCTTCTTAACGTTTCTAGCTTGGAATCAGGGCAGTATTTTCCTTCTGTCTGCTCTCAGTACAAGGACTAGTGCTACTAACTTTGGGTGCATCTACATGAAATGCTTTAGTGTGGAGATGACAAATTAGCTCTGCAGTAAAGTGTCACTGTCTACATGTGAAGCTCTACTAGTCTGCAGTAAACTAATTAACTCTGCTGTAGGATAATACTGCTCAACACAAGTGCTATCATACAGCAGAGTACTTATGTGCAGTGAAACACGTGTAGCCAGTGGCTGGCTGGGGCACAAGGGTGCTATGGTGCAGAGGATGCCTGCTGGCTAGCCCCACACTGGAGCACCCTTGTGACCCAGCCAGTCCCTCTGCAGCATTTTGAGCTGGGTCAGAGCAGCCATGGGCTGGTAGGCTAACTCCCTGCCAGCCAGAGTTGCTTTGCCCCAGCTCGATGTGCTGCAGTCCCAAGTACACATGTAAATGCTATGGCCGGGAGCAATAAAGTCAGGCATGAACTGTCAGAATTTATCGCTATGTGCTAATTGCATGTGTAGACGTGCCATTTCCTGTGTAAATCTGCAGCATTTCTAGTATCTGCCGTTGAAAACTGGACTTTGTAGCTGGCACAGTGGACTCAGCAGCCATCAAAGAACTCATCAATGCATACACCATGATCTGTAAAGAACAATGATTGATTGATTGATTCAGAGTAACTTACATTTGGAAACAAAAGTCAATTCAACTCAAAAATATTTTTTTCTTCAGTCTTCAAAATATCAAAACAGGATGTTTTGACAATTCTGATCCCTTTTCAGATTTTTTCTAAAATGGGGGATTCATCATATTCTATCAGGCTTTTTCAATGAAGAAGTGTTTACTCAAAAAAAAAAAAATCTCAGCCACCTCAAGTAGCTATCAAAGGTGGTAATGAGGAGTCCAGAAAAAAAGTGCTGTCGTTTTTCCTGTTTTACATGGAGAACATAGAAAGTGTCACTACCTTATCAGGGAGTGGTATTACTCCTGGGATATTAGAACCTAAGTCAAGAGTATGCATTCTTGAGATGAGTGAATCTTGGTTTGGGTAAGATTTAAAAGATGGAAAGATTTTAAGGTCCACTTGTCTTCACTGTTTGGTGCTGTGCCATTTTTATCACGGTTCAACAAATCCCTACTCATCCCATACAAGAACTATTTTTAAGAAACAGAAGGACTATGCAAAGCCTTTTTTTCACCTGCTGGCAGTATTGGTAGTGGGGCTGAATAGTACTGGCAGGAGCTTTACTGAGCTGTATTGCCACTGATAAAAATATCATAAGATATTGCTGCATGCTTCTCTCTTCTGTCCCTGTGACTGTTGTCAAATGTCCATGAATCACTGCTTCCCTGAAACATATTTGGTCAACTGATGGTGAGAAAAGCAGAAGAAAATTTGCATTATGTTTGGATTCAGAAAAATATGATTTTTTTTTCTTGATTTTGCTAAAAAAAAATCAGTGTAACAGAAGCTTCTTCCTGCTTTCTCTCTAAATTGGCACGTCTGCCATCTTCACTTCCAGTGTTCCTAAATTCATCTATGCTACCCAAAGGACTTATTTCTGGGCTTCCTGCCAATGTCTTGAGCTAGAATTCTCACTGAGAAAAAAAGCATTTACTTAAGAAAATATCATGTGGCAGCCTGTAGGCACAATAATACCTTCACTGCCAGAATGCACCAGCTGTACACTGGACTGAGTAGCAAATGGTCCTAGATGTTTCAGTGCATGTTTTCCTCTATGCTGAGAGTGACCTATTACTTTTTAGTAATTCTGAACCAAGTATATCTATGTAACTTGTTGTTTGTTAATATTTATGGAACTCTGTCCTTGTGGTTTTTATTGTGCAAACAGAGGAAGGCGCAGCCTTTCTCATAATTAGTTTCCAATTTTATTTCCTTACAGTTTATAAAAGTTTTCTGTCCCAACATGCTAAGAGCTTCTAGGACAAGGGTCAGCAACCCCTGGCATGTGTGCTGAGCATGGCACGCAAGGCCAGCCCGGGCTCTAAGCGGCTGCAAACAGCTGCTGTGGGCTCTGGCATGCCAGCACTCTGGCACCTTCCAAGGTAGACATTGTGGTTTTTTCGGCACACTGGCCAAAAAACGTTGCCTAGCCCTGTTCTAAGGCAAGCAAGGTCACACACAAACCTTGAAGCTCAGTGTAACAGGGACTCAGGCAGGAGTCCTGTTACTATGGGGGGTTTCAGGCTAGGTTGACCAGAGGATGCACCCTGTCAGATGAAGGGAGTTCACATTAGGGGAGGGGCGGGATGATTAGCCTGCCACGGCCGGCATAAATAAGGTGACAGAACAAACACCTTTTGCTTTGGGCACTGGAGAATGAACATGGGGCAGTTGAGACCCCAGAGAAGAGAACAGCTGGACCTGGGACCCAGGAGGACACCGAGACCGAGGGACTCCAGACAGCTGCAGGTCAGCCACAAGGCTGGTTGCTCACCTGGGAATTACAGCTGCTTTGTTGAGTCTGGGAGAAGAGCCGAGGCTCCGTGACGTGGCTTGGCAGGGATTCCTGAGTGTGAGACACGGGCAGGGAAAGCAAGTATTAACCCCTCACCACTTGTTGAGAATGCATCAGTGCCATAGGTGTTGGGATGGAAGACGAGGGAACAGCTGGGGCTGCTCCCGGCACAACACGTACAGAAAGATACAAGGAGTGTGCCTCCCTAACAACGCAATTAGTGGTGGAGCTGGTATTAATTACAATGTATCAATGAAGTACCTGGCGCCAAGTTTTCTTATCTGCAGCCCGGACTTTCCTCACTATTGAGATAATTAGTGAGGCTATTGCTGTTCAAAAGATCCCTGCTGGGCAATAAAACAACTTTGTGAGAATTTAACACCTGGGTGTCATTGGTAATTCCTTGCTCAAACAACGTCACTGAACCCCACTCTTTTTTCTTCTTTCTATCTAAGTCGTGGCAGGAGAGTTCAAGGGGAGACGGAGCTGGGACTGACCTTCCACCCCTCCACCTCTCACACTCAGATACACATGGTACCAGCCCAAAGACTGAAAGCCCAGTTTCATAGGGATACAGGTCTTATTTACCCATCTCTTCTATGGGTGATGGAGAAGTGGTGCTATAAAAGAAGGTTTCCAAGGTATGGGGTAGGAGGAAGACTTAGCCAAGGGAGAACATTCCAAGCATAAAATGCAGCATGGCTCAAAGACACAAGTGGGTGGAAGATACAAAAGGAAATATAATGGAAGGAAGCTTAGGAGTAGCTAAACAGCAGAAGTGGTTTGGTGGTCTCAAAATAATGAAGAAAGTCTTTAGCTTAATAAGGAAGTTGAAAGAGTATCGGCAAGGAAGCTAGAGTAGGGGAAGAGGGAAAGGAATGCAATAGCAGCTTTCTATGTGAACCAGAATGAGATGAACTGCTATTCAGGGAAGCTAAATGGAAGGAATTTCTTATAGTTGAGACAAAAGAAGCCCAGAAGTAAATGAAGATGAATACTATTTAGTTTGGAGGGGAAGTCTTGTAGGAGAAAGCAAAGTAAGGTCTGGTAAGAGCTTACAGTGTGTGAGGGAGGAATGTAGGGGAGAGGAGACAAATGTGACACCAGGATCCTGAGCCTGAGGACAGGGTGTAGCAGTGCTACAGGTTGGGCTTAAGAGGAAAAATGGGATGTTCAGCTTTTTCCATGTTTATCACAAAGAATAGCTTTGAAGTGTAATAAAGTTAATGTAGTGGATCAGATTCCAAAAGGAAAGGGATTTTAGACGTCTAAATCCCTTTGAATCTAGCTCCGTAAATATAATTGATCAGATAGTGGAAATATACTCGGTTCTGTATATCAGGACAGTCCATTAAACTGCTTCTTGTCTACAGTCTTCTCTTTCCTTGTTTTACACACTTTTTCTTGGTTAAGAAAAGTCAGTAGAAGCTGCAGTTAGAGGTGCTTTTTCTTTGCCATCTGTCACAAGGCCTTTGCCAGCTCTCTTTAGAGGGGAGTTGGTGCTCAGAGCTGTGCCATTATTTGATAAGATTATCTTGTCACTTTGCTGTAAAATCTCAACATACAGTGGTGCAAATGGAAAATATTCTTTCTCTGATTTTGGACAAATCCATTTTTTGCATTTGAATCAAGAAATACTTCCTTGTTAAAACTGGTTCTGAAGCTCACTTTCTTTCTCCCTCTGTTCCATAGGTTGTCATTTTGTATTTTGAGCCAAGCATATTTCGCTGCATTCTCCTAAGATGGGTTCGTCTTCTGGGCTTTACGACTGTTTATGGAACTGTGACACTCAAGTTGCACAGGTACTTTGCATTTTATTAATTTCCATCACTGTGGGAGGACATGCAATCTGTGTGGGCAGTCAGAATCAGAAGCTGTAAGCATTTATTAAAAACAACCACCCTTTCGTATATTTTTATAACACTGTATATCACTTCAGTATTCCCAGGGAGTTTCTATACAACTTATCCAACAAGAGGAGATGTATTATGAATGTGAATAATGGAAGAAGTGGTGCTGATGACTAGTTTGATAGGCTGCATGACACAGGGCTCAACTCATGGCCACAGGGTTGCTCCCAAAAGGTAAAAACATGCAGAGGTTTGAAAGAAGAAGGGAAAAGGTCCCTTATAAGGTGCTCATAGAGAGAAATATATCCTTTGATATTAGGCATCTGCAAAGGATTTTTTTTTAATGTTTTAAATATTTAGATAAGATGGAGTTGTGTTCTCTAGAAAGCCTTAGAACAGTTTGTTTTACAGGCATATTATGCTTTTTTATGCCTCATGAGGCCAGGTATACTTTTCTCAGGCACTGATGGCAGATTGACTGGACTCTTGCAAATGTAGCTTCCAGCTGGCAGGTAAAATGTGCAGGGAATTCTTTGTTACGGTTGAGGAAATTCATCTGAAGTGGCAAAGAGCTCAGTTGAGGATGCCGATACCAAGAGACCTGACCTCAAATCCCACCTCTACATTCTCCTCATAAATTAATGCCTTTTCGAGGGCATGTTAGATAAAATGGTTTGTCCCTTATCTCACAGTGAAAATGAACCAAAGAATACTTCTTGATGCATCCCATAAATGCATTTATGAAAATAGATCATACATTGGAGTGTAGAAAGTTTTGATGAAGATAATTATATTGTAAAATATCCGTGTTCAATATTTACTTTAGCCTCATCAGTCCATTGGCATGACATAATTGAGATCAAGTATTATGCTTTGAACTGGATTGGAATAAAACTGACACTATCTGGATTGTTGGTCTGTTATATTTTAGAATAGTAGTGTTAGTGATGCTATAGCTGTCACAGTCCAGGAATTGTGTGAGAGGCAAGGATTTCTTAAGACAGTACCTTTTATTGGACAAACTGAATAATGGGGATAGAGTTAGACAAACTTTTGAATGCATGACATTCTTCATCAGAATGTGAATTCAAAAGCTTGTCCAACCATATCCTAACCATGCAGTTGGTCCAATAAAATATCACCTTAAGAAATCCTCACCTCTTGCAATGAGAATCTAGCTCCTTCATTGAAATATTATTACTACTTGCAATTTCTGTATATGTAGACAATTAATTATATACATTGGTATAGTGTAGGGGTTGGTAGCATTTTTGGGCACAGTATGAAAAATACCTGCAACCTCGACTTCGTAAGATGTTGGCATGCCATGGGGGGATGCCACAGGAACCACGAGGACCTTGATCCTTGTTGTGAAAGCACAGCTCGAGCCCCTTCCCTGCCATCTGCTCCGGGGCATGCATGCCAAACAAAATGTCTCCACATGCCATGCTCTGGCACCCATACTGGGGGTTGTGTACCCCGAATATATTGCATACAGTTTGCTTATTTGTTAAATTAGGTATCTTATTAACTCTTAGAAGTGAATTGCACCAAAAATCCATAGTGGATACACTGAAGGCACATGTCCTGATAAGTGTGCACATGCAGTTTGCAGCACTGCTAACTGCACACAGCATATGTGCACCTGTTTACCCTGCTGCTAATTGTTTGATCCTGTTCTCAAAAAAAAAAAAATTAATAAAAGAAGCAGCATGGTGAATGTGGCAGCAGCATGCACCACCAGAGAAGGAGCCTGGCCAGCTTCAAGCAGCCGGCTCGGCACTGCTGCTGCCCCGGAGACCCCCACCACCCCAGGTAAGGCTGCTGGCCCCTGAGACTGGACCCAGCCTCCTCTACCCCACCTGGGTCACAGATATGCTGCTGCTATTTGTCTCACGGGAAATGTGTAACCCTGCATATGTGCACTCATCAGAACATGCTCAAAGTGCCTTCCTTACAAAAGAACAAGTTCAAGTGGGCGAAGGTAAATAATTGAAGAACTATAAAAAATGTGTAGAACTGGTAGTTTTATTTGGAAGAGGGCAGACTTCACACTAATATGGCTAATTCATAGTTTCATAGTTAGTAGGGTCGGAAGGAACCTAAGTAGATCATCAAGTCCGACCCCCTGCCATGGGCAGGAAAGAAGGCTGGGGTCAAACAACCCCAGCTAGGCAATTGTCTAGCCTCCGTTTGAAGACTCCCAGAGTAGGAGTGAGCACCACTTCCCTTGGAAGTTGATTCCCGATCCTAGCCGCCCTGACTGTGAAGTAGTACCTCTTGATGTCTAGCCTGAATCTACTCTGAGTCAACTTATGGCCATTATTCCTGATTACTCCCGGTAGTGCTAGGGGGAACAGGGACTCTCCTATTGTCTTCTGGTCTCCCTTGGCAAATTTATAGATGGCCACCAGATTCCTTCTCAACCTTCTCTTGTGGAGGCTGAACAGGTTCAGCTCCCATAGCCTCTCCTCATAGGGCCTACCCTGCTGCCCCCGATCATGTGAGTGGCCCTCCTCTAGATCTTCTCGATGCTGTCCACATCCCCCCTGAAGTGCGGTGCCCAGAACTGGACGTAGTACTCCAACTGCGGCCTGACCAGTGTTGCACAGAGGGGGAGGATCACCTCCTTGGACCTGCTCATGATGCATCTGTGGATGCATGACAAGGTGCAGTTAGCCTTCCTGACTGCATCCCCACATTGGCAGTCCATGCTCATCTTGTAATCAATAATGACACCAAGATCCTTTTCAGCCTCTGTGCTGACTAAAAGGGAGTTCCCCAGCCTGTAGGTATGCTGCTGGTTCTTCCTCCCTAGGTGCAGTACCTTGCACTTGTCAGTATGGAATTCCATCCTGTTCTCATCCACCCACCCCTGTTACCTCTCTAGATCTAGTTGCAGCCTGTCCCTCTCCTCCAGCATGCCCACTTCTCCCCACATCTTAGTGTAATTCGTGAATTTGAACAAGGTGCTTTTCACCCCCTCGTCCAAGTCGCTGATGAAGATGTTGAATTGTGCGGGCCCGAGGACTGAGCCCTGGGGGACCCCACTGCTCATATCCCTCCAGGTCAAAAAAGACCTGTCCACCACCACTCTGTGAGTGTGGCCCTCCAGCCAATTTATGACCCATCTGACTGTGTAGGCATCGACACCACAATTGCCTAATTTTTTAATGAGAATGGGGTGAGAGATGGTGTCAAAGGCCTTCCTAATGTCCAGAAAGACTACGTCCACCACAACCCTTGCATCCAAGGATTTTGTGACCTGGTCATAGAAGGCAACCAGGTTGGTCTGACAGGACCTGCCTCTAATGAAACCATGTTGATTGCCCCTAAGCATAATCTCCCCTGCTGGTCCCTTGCAGATGTGCTCCTGGATAATTTTCTCAAAGAGCTTCCCCAGAACGGAGGTAAGACTAACAGGCCTATAGTTTCCTGGGTCCACTTTCCTCCCTTTTTTGAAAATGGGGACCACATTGGCCCTTTTCCAGTCCTCTGGTACCTCGCCAGAGCACCACGAGTGCTCGTAAAGCTGTGCCAGGGGTCCTGCAATGACCTCTGCCAATTCCCTCAGCACTCTGGGATGGAGATCGTCAGGACCTGCTGATTTGAACATGTCTAGTCCCACCAGAAGTTCCCTGACTAGGTCCTCACTGACCCTGGGCCTGGCTGTGCCTCCCCTGGGTCCGTCTGGGATCCCAGTGCGGGGGATGTCCCTGCTCAGAAAAATGGAAGCAAAGAAATTGTTAAAGAGGTTAGCTCTGTCATCTGGTGCAACCACCAGATTTCCAAGCGTGTTCTGCAGAGGCTCCATATTACTCGATACCTTCCTTTTTACTCCCTATGTATTTAAAAAGGACTTCTTGTTATCCTCAATCCAGGTTGCTAGTCCCAGGCCCATCTCCACTTTAGCCTTCCTAACAGCCCCCGCTACAATCTCGAGCAATGGAGGTATAATGCTCCTTGGTGATGGCCCCTCTCTTCCATTGGGTGTACGCCTCCTTTTTAGTTTTGAGACATTCCTGGATGCTTTTGGTGAGCCATGGGGGCTTTTGAGCACTCTTGCCCCCTTTGATCCGGGTGGGGTTTGTCACAGTTTGGGCTTGGAGGATTGTCTCCTTAAGGAACGACCACTCTTCTTGGACTCCCAAATCCCCTCCCCTCCAGGACCTCAGTGCCTCCCTGACTAGTCTCCTTACTTGATTGAAATCCTCCCTCCTGAGGTCCAGGGCTGCTGCTTTGCTACAGGCCTTTGACACCCTGTGCTGGATGGTGAACTCCAGTAGGCGATGATCGCTATCGCCCAGATGGTCAAGAACCCGCAGTCCCCTCGCCAGGTCGTCACCTGTGGCCAGGACCAGGTCCAACAATGCTTTTCCCCTGGTGGGACTGTGCACCTCCTGGGTTAGGTGGAGGTCCTGTAACTCGGCTAGGAACCTACGTGAGTGGTGAGACCTGGCTGACTGCTCTTCCCAGTAGATGTCCGAATAGTTTAGGTCACCCGTGATGACCACGTCCCTTGACTTAACTGCCTCTGTGAGCTGACCAGAGAATTCCCGGTCCAGCTCTTCCCCCTGTTTGGGTGGCCTGTAGTAGACCCCCACCATTAAGTCCCTTTCCCCCTGACCCCCTTGTATTCTGACCCAGAGCACCTCAGTCTGCCCTACCTCAGACCCAGTGCTGTTTGCTGAGGATGTGTATTGCTCTTTGATATAGAGCACCACACCCCCACCTTTCCTCCTTGTTCTATCCCGCCTATAGCCCTTGATGTTTACCACCCAGTCTTGGGTTGGATCCCACCAAGTTTCAGTGAGCCCCACTATGTCTGGGTTCGTGTTAGTTAGCAGGAGGGCAAGTTCCTCCCATACTACAAGCATTAGTGTAGAGGCGTTTAAGGCTTCCTGAGGCTGTATGCACCGTCCCCGTCCCCCCCTGCAATCCCAGGACTATCC